TACGACTTATCCTACCACAAGTCTCCTATAGCACAGTGGTAGAGCATTTGAAGTACTTAACGGAGCTATTGCCTGCGCACGGAGTTCTCTTTTTTTTTTTTCGAGTATACCTGTGACATTCACTAAATTACACTGAATAACCTTGTATTTGTCTCAAGAATCCAGGAAACGAAACTGAAAATTATTCCTTGATTTGATTCTTAAATTCATGCCATCGACTGAGATTAAATCGCTGGATTTATTTTTCCACCCTACCGTCTGTTAATCATGAGCTGCTTTGTAACTTGCAGTTTAAGATAAAAATTAATGAACTTGCCTTCCCTAATTTTAATTGCAGAAAATGTTTGACTGCAAACATTAGTAATAGTTGAAAATATCCTACCATGTTGACCTCTTCTATTTTCCCAAACGATTCCACATAAAGATCCACCAATATCAACGTGTAATTAACTAAAAAAGCGCCACAAACGAAATGGTTAATTTCGGGTATATGAATTGTTAATTTTGTCAAATATTTTCCCTACGATTTCAACTGGCTGTTTTTTTTTTATTTTTGCTCTCAGTTCCTTTGTTATGATTGGTCTTAGTGATAGCGTTGGAAGAAGCTTAACGACACTCAATGTGGGTGCGAATGGGTCCGGCAGGATTTGGTATCGATGTGTACTGGGTATGGATCGTTTTCAAGGCGTTTCACACGCAAGGGAAATGAAAGTTACAAAATTAAGCATTGATTTGCCATCAATAATCGATTATCTGACCAACTGATGGTCATTTTTAAACTACAGGTCATACCTCCATCGTTGGGATGTGATCCTCTGTCGTAACCGGAGTTGGTCAAATGTTCTTTAAGCACTTGGAGTGATGAACCCGCACTGAAATGACGAGAGCAAGTAAGCGAGTGGTCACAGATAATTACAATATCAAATATTATATCAAGCTGGAAATTAAACAAAGAATGTCCTTGTGTGCACTACCTGCGTGCCGTCTCGACCATGATTCTTGTCAAGGACCTCATGAGTAACTTTAATTTATGAACTACACAAGATTCCTTCTACTTTGAAACCATCATAGGAGACAAGCAAATTAACCAGATACCAACACAACATAAATATTGGCCAGTCTTGATTTGGATTGATCATATTCAAGAGTTATCATTTACGTAAGAATTCAGTTATTAGATGTAACGTTTTGACTTTTTTGACTTTTGAATTCAGAATAAAAAGAATTCAGTTATTAGATGTAACGTTTTGACTGTTTTGACTTTTGTTAATTATCATTTAAATTGATTATTCTATAGATGTTAAGACTAGCAGTTTAGACTTGAGGAAAAATTTTAAATAAGACGTTACCTGGTTACAGTAAGAAGGAATGCTTGATACACAATCAAAATGAGCAACGCCATCCCAGCAAGGGTCCGCCAACAACCTTTTTGTTTATATAAGAGTAAGGAACGATAAAGTCAGAGAGTATTCTCAATCTAGGTCTCTTTATATCTTGCCCGCCATATGTATGCAAATGATTCCAGCGGTTTGAGAAGAGTACAGCCTCTTGCTACAAAAAAATGAGAGGAAAGGGAAATCTTTTCAAAGATATTGATTATTCGAGTAATTCAAAGCTGGGTGTGGAAAGTTGTCCATGAGACTGTCTTGGTATTGCGTTCCTATTCTCGATAATTGGTTGTGGAAAGTACGTATACGCATCACCCCGTCCCAGCCAATCAGATGACTTGGTCACTCACGCTTTCCCGCACCTTTGGTCGTTCACTTGTAGAGTTACTTTCGTCAGCTCTCATCGTTTTTTTTTTTTTTTTTTGTCCTAATCAACTTTGTACTGAGTACTTTGATTTGTTTCCATGGAAACACCCTAAATGAAAGCCTCTATCATTGCCAACACTGTAGGTAGAATTTAATCTTTCTCATTTCCAATGGTTCTTCCCTGAGTCGATGCAGCCTTGATTCACAGGTCAAATTGATAATTTATCTTGATTATTGTTCCTCGTCAGCCGACATGTTTTGTGATGGAATATACAATAGATGTTATTTTTCAGCTTGCTTTCAAAGTTATTAACCCAGCTTAATAATTAACATCAAGCACGTCTCGTCGTTTCTTCCTAGCTTTTGTTTCAAATGGTTATGATTTTTGCAGCTTTTTTGTCAATTGAAAATATTCTCTTCGTCCACAAGACTATCCCGGTATGCCACACAAGCGCATTTTTACCCTTTACAGAGGTATTTTCCTTAAAATATCTTACTGAGTAGTTTTGTCATTCTAAAAACGCGAAGTTGAATTGAAAGAATTTTCTAGAAAAATATGTACAGTGAAAGAATTGATGAATTGATGAAATGCAAATTCGACTCTTCAAAAACTTTGGTTAAAGTTCAGATCATTGAAAATAAACGAAGATTCAATGTCGCTACCGAACACCTCTATACCAGTTCTGTGGGAAAAAAAGTTTGTAAAGCAAACAGCGTAGAAGAGTCTGTTTACATATTCCAGAGGTTTGAAAGTAAATGCGATATTCCGTATTATAATAAAAATTATTCTGAGATGGCTGTAGGCTCGTCTTGTTTATGTCGCTCTCAACCAAACCTTTACTTTTCTACGGACAAACTGACTCAAAACCTGTTTATCACACACACCCATAAAAGTACTTACCGTGTTAAAACAGTGACGAAATACAGTTTAGAGACACCTTCGTTCCAATAACTCTTAGTTTTGGTAAGGTAATATGGAATAATAATATTCCACAAAGAGGTGAAAAAAAAGTATTAACTACGCGGGAAACCGATTGATCTTTACAGAGATAGTTCTCTAAAAGGTCTTTGTAATACTCAATGCAATGAATTGATTTACCACTCCAGTGCTGCTAGAAGTTTGAAGTATCGTGGATTTATGTATGAAACGATCTTCCAGATTAGAGCTCTCCCGTAGGACGCCTGAGCAGGTGTTCGCTCCTGATAGCGCGGCATAACTAAATCGTTTGTGATAAACTTTGAGCTTGCGATTGAACAATAGACTTCAAATTTGTTTTATTTCTCGCTAATGTAAAATTATACACAAGGCTTTGCGACAAAGGTAATGACATACCTAAATTTCACGAAACAGAGCGACATAATTTTTGATAGCTATTTGGTAACATTAAAAACAATTTGTTGGTGGTAACTTAGAAAATATTTGTCTTTGCAAGAGCAGATATCCGTGTTTTAAAAGCTTCTTAAGTAACACCAGGGGGCTCTGTAGGTAATTTCTATATTGTTTTCAAAATTCTTGATGGTGATTGGCCACAGGGAAACATCTGAACGGTTGCTGTCAGGTGGGAAGCCATTGTATTGAACCCTAGGTTACTTGGTTCATTATCACCTGTGCTCCATTGGCAAACTAGGTATCACTCCCATTGTAGTTAAATATTATTGTTGTGTGCGCCTGTTACTCTTTATTATCATCAGCTGAGAGCTTTAGATAATCCCTTTTATTTTACGAACATGCTGTGGCAGCATGCTTTCCGTTAACGCACACGCAGCACGTGCATTAAATAACTTGGAAGGATCTTCAAGTCACGCGAGGTTCTAAATAAATATGAACTTCTACGACGCAAGTCAATGAATAAAGCAGACTACTTATTCATATACTATCAATTACCCTATCCCTTGGCGGAATACTTATAAAAAAAGGTTTCTCACTCTTGCCATTGCTTTAATAACGGGAGAGTTTGAAATCCCATCTGGGTCAAAAGCGGGTTTGCGTCATTGTAGTTCCGCTGAACAAAGCAGAAAACACGTATATGAACTCATCATGATGATTCCTGGAGGTCTTAGAGCGGAGACAGCACACTTCCTAAAAGTGTTAATCCTGGGAGAAGTTTCGAGTTGAAAAACTTTTCAATATCTCGGTATAGACAAAACTGCAAGAACACCCGACTTTCCTTGGGAAATGTATGAACGAAAATACGAACCACTTTCACTCAAGCTTGATGTTTGAACTAAAAGGATATACTTTATTTTTTCAGTCAACTTAAAATGGCAACATGGAAGAATAACTCATTTTATCGAGTTGCCAGGCTAAATACTGCAACACACAAGACTTACAAATATTTTAAAAAAATAGCAGTAATTTGACAGGCCCAAGAAAAAATTATCGTGGGAGAAATAATTACATTAGTCTAACGTAAAATTACACAACATTTATAAACAAAGGTCTCCAACAACTTTTGAGAGAACAATGAAACAAAGAAAGCAACCTTGGGCTAGTTAAGTTAGAAAGAGAGATCTAGAAACATTCAGCCTTTTTGAACAAATACTTGACTATACTTGACACAAGGATTATCATTGAGGCAGAGTCTTTACTCCGCCTTAGCTCAAAGCATCAAGATTATAATAGGCGAATAGTGAATTGAATTCAATATAGACAGAGATAAAAGGTTTACACGCACAATAAATTATGCTTACTCTTGTGAATAACCTAAATGGCATACTCTTTATTTCTTTCGTAAGGCACGCATATACTTCAGAGGTTCAGAAAATCCTAACATTATTATTGTGTTTATATTAACAGCTTGCTTTCACTCTTTCACTCAAACCAATGATCAGTATGCGTAGATATGATCCATTTACAATTTTAATACATTGTGTAGAGGACACGTAATGAGAATTTAGAGAAATGTTAACTACGGGGGAAATTGTTCAGATATTGTCTTAAGAAAGGCTACAAAAAAGAGTATGTTCTCTAGTAAAGATAATTAGCTTTCAGATCTTGGCCATGGAAGGGTTAAAAGTCTTCTGCCGACATCGAAAGTGATTTACATTCAATCGACAGAAAGAGTGTTATTTCGAAAAAAAAAAAAAAAAAAGGTAGGTTTCGGTGCGGGAGAAAAATTACGATTTTGTCAAATATTGTAATTATCATACTAATGTAGTATGCGAATATAAACTGAGTCGAAAACGCCCGCAAAAAATCAGAACTCCTTCGACAGGATTTGAACCTGTGACTTAAACTCCGGTATTTTATATTCTGTAGGGTAAAACATTAGTGCCGTGAAAGTAAGTCACCCAATATGCAACGTTATACAGCAAAAACGTTAAAGGAAATAAGACGCGGCTTGCTTTGTCCACCTTAGCCGAGAGTTCCATTGGGCGAGAGTTTCTTTTGTTGAAGAAGCAGCGAACAACTGTGTCGTAATGCGCCTGTGTGTTTTCCTTATCCATTTCGACCCAAGCTTCGTCGGGCAAAGGCGGGCGCATCTCCCCAAGACTCAAGTGCCTGTATTCATCTCTTATCATATGAAAAAGTTCACTATGTTCATTTGATTCCCAGTGATTCAGGCGATTTCCTCCCTCGTTGTTTGTCTGTGTGCCAGTATCTGCTTTTCGTGGCCTCAGAATTTGCACACCAGACACGTAACGGCAGTTTAACCCTCCTTTGTCCTTCACCGAATTCTATTCGGGAGAAAATGCAATTAGAACTATACCAGGTGGGAAATTGGAAAAAAAATCTAATCATAGCACAATATGAACGGCGTAGCATACTAGTATACGGGGTAATATGAGGCATAACAAATCAGATTTCAGTACTATATACTACGTTGGAGTACCTCACAAACTCAGCAAAAATTAAGAACTCATTAACAAAGCTTAATCCCCCTCCTCGATTATTTTTTACCTTCCTTGGTTCCTTGTCCCCAGAATTCCTCGTCCTTCTGTTTTTTTGCTCGTCTTCTATTTTCCTGGCATTTGCCCTCCACAACCTGTCCACGACGATGCATTCCAACAGACTCAGAAAAATGATCGTGAAACACACCATCAGGTACCAGTCCATTCCTTTGACATAGCTGACCTGTGACAAAAATATTACAGGAACGTTGTCGTAGCAGAAGTCGCTAATCCACACAGCCAGTATGAACTACATACATCTATAAGTTTCTCTGAATGGCTAGGTGTAATTGCAGCTAAATTTCAACTGTTTTCTCTCACGTGGTACATTGTGTTGAGATTAGTATTTTTCAATTAAAATAAGATTAATTATATGTATTTATTTTGATACATCGTTTCAGGCATTGGCAGTAAGAAAATCGGCGGACCATAATTAACATCTTGTTTTGGAAATGATCTGATACTTATTAATAACAAACGAAGTGCTTAAGCAGCAACAATTATTCTCAGTAATGACAGTTGCCGTCTAACCGCACACTGTACGGGACAGATTCACACCCTGTGATTCCGATTTAAACAGGCCCGAATAAAAGTCTGTATCCATTATTCATTTAAATTCCACGATATGCATGCTTAGAAATTCCCCTTCTCCCTAACATTCTCATCTTTGTAAATCCATCATCAGATGGATATACAAATACGTCAGTACTAGGTGACAGGCGTGTCATTCCTTGCAACGTTTGGCTTGATAGTATATGATAATGCAAGGGGATGTCAAATTGCATTCACCACCACAAACAAAAATACCATAACCCAACCTCTTTCCAGAAGAATGTCCTTTTGATCGCCCCAAACTCCTAGTGGTAAATAAAGACTGCTCCCTTACCTTGGGAAGCATTCCGTTGGTATAGCCGAGCAAAAACACGATGGTCAGGATAGTGGTGATACCCACAGTCAGTCTACTAGCGCTGTCATCAGGCCTCATCCAGAACACGATCCAACTGAGCATGACCAGAAATATACAAGGGATGTACACCTGAATAATGTAATAACCCATGCGTCTCTTGAATGGAAATGTCACTGTTAACACTGTGAAGTTCCCTTAGGAAAAATGAAAGACGAGGAGTCAGGACTGTTTTGAGAAAGGGCAGCCAGTCACTTCTCGACACATCGTTTGATCGGACCCTGCCTGTGTCTAACTATTCAAAGAGACAGATTGCCTCAAAAGCGAGCCCCCCTTTCCCCCTCCCCCATCTTCCTTCCTACCTCCCCCTTTCCACCCCTAGTAAGGAGTGGTTTTGACTCAGATGAAAGAAATCACAGAAGCAACAAACACTTAGGATTAACCTCGAATGCCTCCTTGCGCCAGAAAAAATTACCAATTGAATTTGAAGAAATTTAAAGGATATGTGTCTAAATTCGTGTACTAGATTCAGTGTCTTTACCACAAAGGCAACATGTCCTCAGGATATCAATTGAAGGGACTTCATTAACCATTCCTTGAAATTCTGAAAGTTCCTTGGACCACCTAATCATTGTCAGTGAGAGTTCGCCTCGTGTTCGAGCCGACGTAAGTTACAGTCAAGCAGGTTCAGTTGGATATGCATGCTAATCATATTTATCTCGCACTCTTACCGGTGGAAAACTCGTTGACTTCAGTGGACAACGTCGGGTCACCGACGGAAAATTGTGCCATTTCTTTGTTAGCAATTGAAATCGTGGGGTTCCTCCATTTTAAGAGAATATCATCGTCTGTATGGCCATCTAATGACAGGTAAAAATTAAAAAACAAAAACAAAGTAAAGAACAAAAAAACACGAGAGGATCGACTTCTATTCGTGGACATTTCGGAAAGTCAACTGAATAATATAGTAGGAAACTTTCCCTCGGCATTTCTTCATGTATAATTTGGTTTTATTAACCCTTTACACCCTAACATCAGTATCAACATTCTCCATACTCTTCTATATACGTTTCCTTTAGTACTGACAAGGAGAATTTGTTGAACAATCAAAGCTCCTTTGGGTGGCGATCATTTCCTTTATTCTCATGATCTTAAGGATTGATTCAGCCATATTACTGTAAAGAGAAATTAGATGCTGGTCACTCTTAGAGTTTAAAGGGTTAACTGGCTTGATAAATAAATAAAATTGGTCATCATAAGAGATTATAAGGCTGACGTGCGAGCGTTAGCCTTTCGTCAGGGCGAAGGATCTGCCCACTAAACACAGAATGAATGCTACCAAAAAACAAACAATAACAAACAAAATCAAGAAAAATAAATACTCACAGCTTCCAAATGATAATTTACACTGTTGTGTGTCCATAGGAAAATCATGCAAATCCATTTCACATGAAGCGATAATGTGTGTACTAAAAGGAAAAAAAAAAGATCTCTGATATGAGGACTAAATGTTTGTTGCTTTTCATCGTGTTGACGTATAAAAGCATGTAACAAATTATTTCTTATTTTACAGATAAATTTGATCTTAAATATCATCTGAGCGATAGAACCCCTAAGATATTTGATGAATGATCCTTTCTGAGTGTGTAACCGCTTCGAAACTCAGTTCTCGCTCATTATCATTTACAGTGCACTTACCTTCTGCTGTACATAATGAAGCCTCTCCGATCGATTCTGATGACGCTATGAACCTCAGTGTCGGGCAGCATCAGGTCCGAGGTTTTTGCGTTGTAGCAGTAGGAGTCTGGTAACCATAGGCGAGAAATATAGTCTCGTTGCAGCACTTGATTGTCAGAGGTTATGAACTTAGCGATACGATCCTCGAACCACATCTGACGGAAATACATAAAACCTGGAAATTCCTAAAAAACAGAGAATTGAAGGGAAAATGTTTAGGGATCAGTAATTATTCATCATGGGGAGGGGGGGGGAGGGAGGGACAGAGGAGTTTGGGGGCAACATGGTTTCCACTGCCAATAAGGAGGGAGGGATCGTTAGAATAGTACAGAACCTTACGAGGGAATTGGGTAAATTTTACAGTGACACAACCAAATTCTGTCGAACTCCCCCCCTTCCCCCCCCCACAGGTGATAACTGATAATAGTCGTGGAGAGGTGGAGCGTCGAGCAGGTTCAATATTAATGTTGCCATCACCAATGACGAAAGAGTGTTTTAACGAACGGCGTGATGAAGAAGGATAATAAATGTTGTGTTCGGTTTTTCACTTTTAATTTAAACTAGGCGCCATTCCCCTCAAGAGGGCTCGACTAAACCTGAGGCTCATGGAACGTGAAAACAAAACAAGCAAAAAGCACATTTAATATAAAGTCAAACCTTAGCATTGTTTAGTGGTTTGAGGAAAAAAAATCAACTCCAATTTTAAGGATAATTGTTGAATAATGATCTTACCATGTTTACTTCTTTTATGTTTCCAAACGACTCCACATAAATATCTAAGAAAACCTCAGTAGGTTTACCTACAAATAATAAATTGCTTGTAAAACAATATGTTTTGATTTATTGTTTCATTTTACATATTGGGAAATCTGTCAAATGATTACAAGAAATAAACAAAAGCGGATGGTTCTGAATCAGAGGGAACAGCACTCGAAGCGTCGTACACTCTTCTTATTTAACACCATCTTTTCATTCTCTGATGAAGTTCACGATGTGGAAATATCCAGGCTCACCTTATTCATTTCCAAGACATTTCTTGGAAATGACATTTATACAACAGCCCATCACCTGAGCTCTTAATCAATTGACCGCATTCATTTCCTTTTTAGGTCAAAATAGTAAAACCAGCTTATCGGGGAGGGGTTCCCCTTTCCCTCTTCTCCCTTCCCCACCCCCCCACACTCTCCCTTCCCCATTTCCCCCCCTCATTCCTTTCCCCCCACCCTCCTTAACCATTCCTCCTTCCCCAATCACTCCATCTCCCCTCCCCCCTCCCACCCTCACTTCCCCTTCAAAGATAGAGTAACAGAAAAGGTTGAGCTTCATCCTCTTATGTAGTAACCCGGCAAAATACAATTAATCTTAAAACGTAGCATACACTAGTTTGTGATACAACATTGTGTGAAAAGGGATTTGTCCGTGTTTTTCCATTTTCAAATGTGAATTTTACTGTAGCTTATCAAGTTCATTATCAAGTAAAATGTGTTCTCATAATCGAGTGACTTTGTCACTGAGTAATCACCTGATGTAGCATTTGGCCTGACTGTCTTGTCGTACTTTGTAGTTAGATATTCCACCAAACTTATGGGAATATTTCCTGTTCCATTCAACGCTGGCTCAGATTTATTTTCCTCACTACAATCCATTAAAGGCAAAAACGTAATGATAATCATGCAATAAGATTGGTAAAAGTGACGTATGGTCTTGTGAAGTTCAGCCCCTCTTTGTGAAACCAGTAACCGCACGCGCTACTACTTTGAAACCTCATTTTTTTTTTCAGCGTACTTTGATTTAGTGTCGTAAAACCAAATTCATCACAACAGCCAATCATAGAAGGGAAAATATCACGAGGAGCCAATCTACAAACTGGGACTGTCGGTCACTATTTGAGATTCTTTTGTCTGGTGTGTTTCCTCTCTTGACATTGTATCTAGAGTAGTCACTTGGCAAAGTTAACGAGACGGAGTAAAACAAAAAACGAGACGGAGTAAAACAAAATTCGGACTGTCTATTTCCGACACTCACAATACTCATATATTATTCATATTAGACAGATGTCTTACCGTCCAGCAACATTAACAGCAATTACGGAGAAAATAACGACATTTCTAATCCAACACGGGGCCATGATTCTCTTTTGTATCGTTTAGTTTTCAAGGATAACTACGCAGTTCTTCCTCTCCAGCACTAATATTCTCTATTTCTGTTAAAAAAGAGAAAGGTCATACTGCTTTCAGTTCTAAATAAAGTTTAAAAAAGCTACGAGTATAAATATTGAAATTCATGAGCTAACGCCAGACAATGAATAGTTGTTTCTGCAATCGAGGCTTAATCATTTACATCACTGCATTACATGCAAATCAGTGATATAACCCCAGATTTGCATATATGGAAAAGTAAAACTTAAAACCTAATTCAAAGTTTAATTTTGATCTGTCCGTCGATGAATGAGAACTATAAATGTTCCGTCTAATGCAGTATAGCGAGCTTTCAATCAAGACTGATGCTGCCAAGCATTGAGACAGGTGTAAGGTAACAATTAATCGTTTAGCTCTCCAAGAGATTGACTCGTAACTTGTTCTTAGTGCATTTTCCAACAAACTGATGAGGAGAAGGGAAAAAGTCATCAACTATGCAGCAATTTCTTGAGATATCACCAAATTTCTCTTAACTAGTTTATTACGAAATGTAATGCACCTGGAGAGGAGAATTACGAAATAAAACTTGGATTTTAATGGCCTACAGGTATAACTCCCATTATTGTGAAATACTTACTGCAATTATCAGATATGCAGTAAGTATATATCAGCACGAAAATAGAACCTTGAATGTTACGTATTGCTCAAATTTAAAATGTCATTTTTCATCGCTGTTGTGTTTTATGACTCAGACCTTGTGCTCTGTTCTCGATTTTAATTTCAATTCATGTCACGCTGTTTGGTCAATTTGTATTAAAAAATGTACTGTTTGTAGCAACGAGTAGTTTCTCGAATTCTCTTCTAGAATATGGAACACAATGCTTTTGTTTCTAATAAAATGTAAAACCAAACACCGTTAGTTTTGCTTTTTATCGTGGTAAAATATTTTCCTCTTGAGGAAAGACAAGCCCTAGCGGAATATTTTTTTCGCTTCTGTCGCAGCGTCGCAGCCCACAAGCTCGTTTTCAAAGGAACAAAAAAGGACAAAAGGACAAATGCTCTAAATCAGCTAAAGCTCGGCATTTTCTAGATCTAGTTGCTTCTTTCTTTCAAAATACAAGCGACGGCCTATTTGCTGGGTTATTTGTTAGTTAACTTATCGAAAAAAGTTTAAACTTGCCTGATAATGCGAGGAAACCATTTCGGTACTGAAATCGAACAACCTTCTTGAATGTACACCGAACTCTAGAAAGCAATTAGTCATTTCTGAAAACTTTGGCAAATACCACACAAAAGACGTTACCTTGTCTTTATGAGGTAAGAAAAACTGTTAATGTAAGAAGCAATAGATGTTATCACAATTTCCATGAAATCCCATTAATTATTAATTGCCTCACAACATTCATCAAAAACCTCATTTCGCGCTTGCTCAATTTGTTTCCATATGAAAATGGGAATCATGTCGTGAAATTCTTTCCTCGACGTGTGTTAATTCTGCCCAGTACGCAGTTTGACATTTTGTTAACCCCAATTCGTTTGTCTATCTGCACATATATATTGGCTTGCCACATTAACCTTTACTCTGGCATAACGTGATAAGCGCAGCATTTAAACTGTTTGCGAATACATCGTTTGATTGCCTACCACACGAAACCAGAAAAGTGTTGATGCTACTAAAAAATCCATCCGTAACAAAATGAAATTGCACGTGTCTCGATTATTTTCATGAAAAAAGCATGATCAGTTTGGACTGGCCCAGGACAAGGCTCATATTTTTTCTTCTCTTTTAGTTTGATTAAGGGCCGTTTTTTTGCCGATTCAATAACCTAAACATGTTATAGTGAAAGTTGATTTATGACCTCTTTCATGGAAAACGGAGGGAAATTGTATAACTGATAATTACCATACGATAAAAAGTTCAACGTAACGAAGTGAATAGAGTTTGGAGATTTTCTGTCCGTGATACACGATCCGTTTTATCTAGCAATCATCGTTATAATTACAAAAACCATGTTGCGTTTCTCTTAAGCACTCAGACTCAGCATATGCCCTCCCTATTTCCTCGGCTCAGAGAGAAATTGAATCCAATTCGGAATGAGTTGTTGATGACGTAAACAAAAAAACAAAAAAATTGGCTGACCGACTTCCTTCGAAGGAGAAAACTTTTCAGTTGCCAAAATGGGTTGTAATTAAAAAAAGTAATGAAATTACATGTATCTTAAGGTGAAATTATAATCCTGATTATAAAAAAGCGTTTTTTTTTGCCTGAAGCCATAGCACGAAAATAAATTTATCAAAGATAACATTGTTTGAAACCTTTGTTAACTGAAGTTTAGTTTAAGGCCCATCTCATGTTGAAGCACATTAAAGTAAATTCTCCCGTTAATGTTTCAACATATTAAATAAAAAGTTGTTGCGAAGGAGCAGGGTCTGTTATATCATAACACGTAATCATTTCTCATGGCATAACTTGGGTGGATGAAAACTTTTTGACGGAAAACTTTTCTAAGACGATGGCACCTTAGTCGCGTTAAAGCAGGAGCTTAACTCTTCTAGGAAAAGGGTTTTACAGAACATGGGAGATTGATAAAAGTACAGCACAGCTTTATTATTGAACTGACAGGCAGATTTGGATTGAAGAGCATACTTCGAGCAGTATTCAAAAGCTTTGTTGTATTTCCTTGGTACGTCGCCCCTCGAAACTTAATGTAATAAGGGCGTGAGTTGCTGTTTAATAAATATTCGAGTATGGAAAATATAAAGATTTTTTTTCTTCCTTTTTTTCGAGAGTCTGTTTTTCCTTAGTTAATATACAGTGCGTTTTCACTTGCCTATTGATTTTCCACAGGTTCAGTTAACAGTACTCCTTCCACTAGAGGCTTAATATCAATTTCAACTGAAATGACATCGACACTGCTAAGTTCGATTTACTTTCGATTCTGACTGGAGACAATTCTATCAGATGGAACTTCAATCGCTTAAAAGAATCATGATGGCTTAACCTACCTGGCAAGTCTATAAAATTAAACGCGATATTCTGAAGTCAGCAACCAGTTCTTTGGAAAATACGCGATGTTACCTGAATGTGAACTCATGGATACAAATTACGGAATTTCAGGTGGTCTCAGGATGGGTTTGTGATGCAAATTATGACCTCGTTAACACATGTTTTATACTTTAATACAATTAAATAAAATGCTAGCAAAACACTCAAATGGAAACTTAAGCCACGAAAAGCACATATGTGAATAAAGAGAAAAGTTACATAGCCTTCATTAACACCAAAAAAATTATATATGAAGTCCATTGCACGAAAATTAAGATGTAGTTAAGTACTCGAAATTCTTACTCCTAAGTTAAAATTAATATCACGCCTACTTATTTCATATCGACTTGAATCTAAGTGGATTCACCTGTAACATTACAATGACAGTTCGAATTATTTTTCACGCCTCTGACAGTTTGTGTTTCATCGACTTCTCTCTAGTGAAAAACGATGTATCAACTGCTATGAGTGTAATTTGTGCAGAGGAACTGTCAACCTTTAAAGTGTTTTTTGTAATCTTCCCATTTCAAATCGTGGTTTTAAAATTTTCAAGTTACTGCTTGGCAATTATTTATTCATGGTTGTCATCCTTTGCGTTGATAAATTATTTAAAATAACACCGTTATGTTTGTAAACGATTTCAGTCAGACATCCTATTTATACATAACTTCTGACCAACATGTCCGTGGCGACAAAGGCATTGATAAAAACGTCGATACTGCTCCTTGTGTACGGGGTTATCCAATTGTTTTGCTTCTTTTTTTTTTCTCAAATGACGCCGAATATCTAGACAGTTTCATAAACATATGTGGAGGGCATTCTAAAAGCAAAGTGTTTTTTAAATGCAAACGAACAACTTTCTTAACACCAGAAATTGAATAGAAGGTAAGGCGTAACTTAAAAAGTGTAAATATTCTAAGGCGTCACTCTTGATTGATTGCCTTTGAGAAATTACTATTAATGCAGATTCCATGTAAAAATGTCTAATTCTTTACCAAGTTTAATTGATTTGAGAGCCTTTTTGATATGTCTTTTAGCCCAAATAGCCCTCAGGTCACGGCTTTAGACAGAAAATGTCGTTTTTCAGCATAATTTTTCCTAGGCCTTGAAGGATCCCGGAAAGAAACATCTGACAACATAAACTATTCTATCTCTTAGGCTCATACATTTCATGTGCAGTTGTAATCTTGATCATCGCCATCGATTTTTCTTAATGATGAAGCTACACAATGTTGGGTAACTATAACGTAAACCCGTGCAGCTTACAGCTTTGTGTTCAGTACTGTCAAAAATACAACAGAAACTTTAGGCAGTAAGTACGGCAACGCTGAGCAAAAGGTCTATTGAAAAATGAATTAACTCTTTTGTTTAGAATTTCTCGAATGGCAAGATGTACTTGCCTTCTCTTGGCATCACACCTAAACTACAGCATAACACGGGAGCGCATTGTGGAGTTCCTGATAGAACCTTAAATAATTCGCCGTCTGAGTCTCTGTCCTAAACTTGGAAAACTTGGTGATTTCACGTTGTTGTTTTGTAGAGGAAGGCTAAGAAATGTACAAAGTTTTAAAACGCACGTGCTTAGCCATTGTTCTGCCCCTTAAATCTTTTGTTTCGCCGCGTCCTCCCTCGTATTTGCTTAGGTTTACAGTCAAGTCGCCTGACAGTCATCTCGCCCGAAGTCATGTCGCCCGAAACCTAAGTCATGTTGCCCGAAATTTTAGTAATGTCGCCCGAAAAAAAAAGTCAAGTCGCCTGAAGAAACAAATACTAAAAAGATCTGAATTTCAGACTGTTAATAGGCAATAACGTTGAGAAATTTTTATCACTACAGCGCTCTTTGTTTCCGACAATACCCTGAAGATTCTTAAAGTTTAAATTCTTTCCAACAACAAAATAAAGCGTTGTTCGTTTGGTATGTAATCGTTTCTTACTCACAGACGTTTCG